ACATTCTAGTCGGGTCATCTCCAAATCAGTTCATGTTCGGGTTCGGATCTCACATACTCGGGTCAACTGGGGTCTAGGTTTGGTTTTAGGTCGGGTCAGGTTGGGTTTGGGTCACCATTTTTTCGAGTTCAGATGGGTCGGTTAATAATCGGATTTGAGTCGGTATTTTGTGTATGGTCAACTTTTAATAGCTCTAGCATTAATTGTAATTGATCTTAATTGGGTAAAATAGTAGTAGTACAATATGTAGCATAAACTAAGCTCATAAGATAAGTTTCTTACCCCAAAAAAAAAAAAACTAAGGTACTCGATCTGTGCAGATAATTAGAGATAGTTGATCCTGTCAAAAAAAAAAAAAAAAAAAAATAGAGGTTGATCATGAACAATTTTTAGCTAATCTTCAAAGTAAAAGAAATTATTTTGTAATTGTCTCTTGATACAAACTAATAAGGTTATTTATATTTCTATATTACGGAGCCCAATTCATCATATGGGCATATGGCCCATATGACAAAACAACCAAAAGGTCCACCCATAGTTCCCATGTAATAGTATTACTAAGAATACTAACCCCCTAAAAGGTTAAAACACTTTCAGAAACACTTGGTGGTCTTGATCCTTGTTTGGTATTGAGCTTTTTCGAAAGCTTTGTTTTTATAAAGGCCTATTAGATAAATGAGCTTATTAATATTAGCTTTTTAGTTATTCGTATTACAGTATTACACTATCACATACACTAATATAGTTAATACTTAACAATTGTTTACTAAATACTTTTATACAACCAATTATTCAAATCAACTAATATAGCAAGCTAGTCAAACCAGTTAATATAACCGATCATATCAATCGGCTATTAACTAATTGCCTATCAAGGCTACAATTACCCAGACTATAAAGTTTTTTTTTTCTAAAACACCATGCATTTTCAGTGAAATATCCAATTTACAGTGACATAATAATGGAACAATTTAGGACCCAAAGTATTTTGGCGCAGTGAAGCTAATGGTCACGTTACTTTTATATAGAAGGAGATCTAGAAATATCAGTTGGTGGTGCATGAAAGATGGATACTAATCATACTATCTGCAACGTTGTAGACTCTTTATTTGGAGAATTTTTGTATGCTCTAGAATATTCTACTTCATTGGTAGTGTCGAAAGGGTGATTGTGCATACTTATGAGATGTATATGTGTAGAATGTTGTAGGGAATTGTTGTACGTGAGTGTAGAACTCTTCATATTGAGGCTAGAATGTCCAAGAATTATGAAGATTTTAGGCTTAGGAGAAAGTGGCCTATATATATATTGACAGTAAGCTAAGGTTCAATTCTACATAGACAAACTAAATGCAATCAATTTTTATCAATCACTCACTTGTGCTTTCAATCAACTTTCTTCCCAAAGCAAACAATTAGATAATGAGGTAAAGCCTTTGTGCTAGACACAAGTTGTCCTTGGCTAAATGTGGTGCAATGGTAGCATTGAGGTGGTTAGTTGTTGAGTGTAGCATACATGTGGATATTACTATTGTAACTAGCTAAACTAGTCAATATGTGATAGTGTATGGTACTAGCTTAGCTAAATCCAACCTACAAAACAATTGCCTAATGAATTACATTTTATATATTTTATGATGAGATTGTATAAATTCTTTTACTTATTTATTATATATCGATAAAATTATTTGTGATTTTGATTCTTAATTAATAAATATTTCAAAATTTAGAATGGTACTAATTTTCTTCTTGAATCAACTATCAATGCCGTTCACCAACCTAAATAAAAAAGATAAATACATAGACAACATGGTTAGTTGTGAAAGATTACTATAGAACTAATATAGTATTGTATTATTGTTATTAGATTTGACAATTAATAAAACTTATTAGGTTACCTATTATCAAATATTCTAATTTTTGGATCTTTAGATTGTTATTTATTGTGACACTGTAGGAACATAATTTTAATAAATTTCAATAATGTAGCTGGCTTTCTGCATTCTTAATTTTTTTTTGATAAAATTAAAATTTATTAATAATGTTAAATTATTTTTCATATTTAATAAATATTTAGATTTTATCTTTAAAATAAATCGAGTATAATAATAATAATCAAAGCAAGTGTATAAATATGCAATAATATAAAAAATAACAAAATAAATCAATTTATCATAAATATGTATCTATCCACAATTGCATATCAGATTTTATCCAGCAAAATTACACTTAAAAAGTTCACACAAAATTGTCATAATTTGTTAGTGGTTGTAAACATGTAAATTTAGTTCAAACGTTCAACACTTTTTTGCCACTTTCAATCAAAGGAAACTCAATCAAACTGATAAACCTTAGATTGCCAATGCGAATGAGGTTCCCACCATTGAAGAAGACCATGAGCAGCCATCAAATCTTGTTCCTTAACGACCACGTTTTTAGTAACGAAAGCTGATGGTATAAGACGTAACGCCTCACCGTGATCTCTCCCTAATGCACCCGATAATAAACTCAAAACTGAATTCTTTGTTGCAATCTTTTCAATTTTACCCACTCCCCATCCTTCCATCTTTTCTCGATGCTCGAAATACCCGATATACTCGCAACAAATCGGATCTTTCGGGTTCAAAAACAAGTACGGGGTCCAAGAACTAAGTATTGTAAAAGGGTCTTTGTGTTCGGGTGTAGTGTTGTTTTTTGTTCCATTTATAGCAAGAGAAAGACCCGCATTTAAAACGCTACGAGCTATGCGGGCCCCATTTTTTAAATTTGGGTCATTGAGTTTTTCTATTGGGGTAGAGATGTAAGGAGGGTTAAAAAGGTAAGTTTCTATACAAAATCCACGTCTAGCCAACTCTTTGCCCGCTTGTAACGCTATAGCCGCTCCTAAGGAATGCCCCGTTAGCCAAACCTTATTAGGGCCTACTTTGGCTATTATGCTCTCTATTACTTGAAATGCAGCTTGGTACCGCGTGTCTCGTGCCAACCTATTTAAGGCGAGTTTGATATCTAAGTGGAAGTCCCTTTTTCTAGTCTCGGGTCTAACAATCGTGCCTCGAAATGCAATGACATACTTAGGGGGTGTACCTGTTGGATAAAAAATGTTCGGGATGTGGGGTTTGTACTTGTAAATGATCCCAAAAATTGATGAATCGATTGGATCTACTAGGGTTTGGAAGCATTTGTAATGAAAAAAATTCCACCAAATTGGGGCTAATGCATCATGATTTGTTCGATTTTCTTGGCGATCTCTCTCTAGAACAAACACTCCTTGAACCATACATGCCGCAAAAGACCTCCTATGTTCCGGTAATCTCCTACAATAATGAGGTTTGACAAGTATCAATCTTCAATAGCTATCTTTTATTGTTCAAATTTTTATGTTCAACTTTCTTAATTTAACGATTTTTTTTGAAATTTTTGGAAGGTATCGATAAGGTTGATATGCAAAAAATTAAAAACCAAGTACAACTTACTAAATCTAGAAAGTGATTATTTGATTTTAGGACAAACTTAAATAGAAATGAAGTGTGATAGAGTTAAAACTACTTTTGGTACATAACCTAGCATCAAATTAGAACACTCTTCCTAATCTACTCGATTATGAGAGAAATGGGAATGTGATATCAACACTAAATCGATTTATCTACATGATGTTCATTGTTCAATGTATGTTTCTATTAATCATATGATCGCTAAATCATTAAATAGTACTCCGTACTGCATATTATAATCTAGATTAATTGTCATATTTTAACTAACCACAGTAAAAAAAGTTAAACTTTGACCCATATAATTTGAAAAAAGGGGTAAATGAAATAATTACCAATCAACGGAAGTAAGGTGGAGAGGGCCACAAATGTCAAAATTTTCTTTCTCCACTGGCTTTTTTTCTTCCTTCTTCTCCCCCTTCATTTTTCTCTTTATTCAACTATAAACTCTCAACCCTGTTTCCAAAGTCAATGAAACATCACATTAGATTTTACATTAATAATTAAGATTAATCTGTTTATGCAAATCAACCCTTTCCTAATTAGTCATAAAACAATCTCATTTCCAATTAATCCATAATTATCACAAAAATACGACAAGCAACATAATTTAGAGTTTTAGCGGGTCAAAACAGGATCATGAACAAGAAATTGAAGAATTTACACCTAATATACAGATACAATAAGCAATATATATATATATATATATATATATATATATATATATATATATATATATATATATATATATATATATATACAAACATGATCAATCAAATTATTAACATATATGAGATCAAGTATTATATTAACAAAAATAATAATAAGATGACCAAGAAATTTACCAAAGAATGTAGCAGAGTGCTAAAAGTTGCGCTTGATATGATGGAGCAGAAATTTTGCTCTATGAAAGAATGGAGGAGACGAATCAAGGAGTATAAATCTAGTTTTTAAGATAAAAATAATTAAATTAAATTTTTAGTGATTGACCCAGTTTTATTCCAAGCTTTTTTAAACAATTTTTTTCTTATTGAAAAAATGAAAGGAGAAAAAGTATGAAGTAAATTAATGAATTATAGTGGTAAGAGATTTGCTTCTTGTCCAAAGTCAAAGAAAGAAGCGTTTCTAATTTCCAGCAAAAAAGTAACAACTTGGAAGTTTCCTCCAAGAAGTGGTATGAAGCTTTAGACGCGGTAGCCTACTCGTTTTTTTAAATGCCAAATGGAATTTCTAGTTATGTGCACCCGGATGTAAGATCTACGTAGTATTTAACGTTACTTTTCGCTCATTCAATATTTTTGTTATGAGTAAAAGGACCACCCTTGTATAGGAAAGGTTTTGTAGAGAAACAGAGAAAGTTGTCCAACGTGTTATATAGATTACTACCTTCGTTATGTTTGTTAGTTGAATTTACGAGTAATATTTATGAGCTTTGTAGTTTTAATTTAGCCTTTTTTCGCTTTATACAACCGGAAAACATATAAAAATGATCATGCTAATTAACTATTTATAGGTACTAGATAAATGTTGTTAAATAATACTGTAAATATTAATATGGATATATATTGTTTTTTTTTACAATCTGGAGATGAAAGGTTCAAAGTATTTTTTTAGGAAAAATTACGTGTTAAATCATAAAAATTATCTATTGTCTCTATCCAAATTCAATTATAATTGATTAACCGCCTCAAAATGAACTTCAAATACCCATATATTCCACATCAAAATTATCATTTTAAAAAGTTTATTTTTGAATCTTGATATTTTAATTATTTCACTGTATTCCGAACCCATAAGAACAAAATCATAAATTCGTATTGGAGATGATATCTATCACGTTACTTGCTACTTAAAGTTAAAGTTACACTTGCAAACAAGTAATATAGGTTGCCCCAACCCCATACAAAATTTAACCAATGATTATACATTGATATAGTTATATATAAGAAAAAAAAAAAAAAAAATCACACAACTCTTTCTTTGTAGTTACATGAATTTTCAAAATAACATATAATTCCCCTGCATTTTTCCTTCATGTCAACTAATTTTGTAAAGTTGAGGCTGCCAAAAAGGATGAGGTTCCCACCATTGATGAATTCCATGAGATATCTTAAGACCTTGTTCTTTAACAATCATATTCTTAACAACAAATGCTGAGGGAATCAAATGTAGTGCTTCACCTTCTCTTCCTAATGCACCCGATAATAAACCCACTACTGAATTTTTAGTTGCAATTCTCTCAATCCCACCTATACCCCATCCTTCCATCTTTTCTCGATGCTCGAAATACCCGATATACTCGCAACAAATCGGGTCTTTCGGGTTCACAAACAAGTATGGGATCCAAGAACTAAGTATAGTAAATGGGCCATGTTGTTGTGTAGTGTACTTATTTTTTGTACCCTTATTAAGAGCAAGTGTAAGGCCAGCCGTTATAACACTAGTAGCGATACGGGCACCCGTTTTCAAATTCGGGTTGTTGAGTGTCTCAATCGGGGCAGAAGTATATGGAGGGTTAAAAAGGTAACTTTCTATGTAACAACCTCTTTTAGCCAATTCTTTTCCTACTTGTAGGGCTATTGCTGCCCCTAGAGAATGCCCTGCTAACCAAACATTCCGTTGACCAACTTTGACCATGAGGTTCTCTACTGCTTGGAGTGCGGTTTGGTACCGAGAATTACAGGTTAGCCCGTTTAGGGCGAGTTGGATATCCAAGTAGAGATCTCGTTTACGTGTATCGGGTTTGGTAATTGTACCCCGGAAGGCAATAACATATTGAGGGGGTACACATTGGGATGCCATGGGGTGATAATAGTTAGGATTGTGGTACTTGTACACGAAAATCGCTCCAAATGTGGAGGAATCAACTTGATCTACAAGGATTTGGGTGCATTTAAAATGGAAATAATCCCACCAAATTGGGGCTAGTGCATTGTACCCCGTTCTCTTTTGTTGGCGGTCTCTCTCTAAAATGTACACTCCTTGAACCAAACTAGCCGCAACCGATCTTCTATGATCCGGTATTCTCCTGCAATTAATATAAAGTTGGTGCAATCGTTATGCATCGAATCATATATCCAATTAAGAATCATCCACTATCAAAGCAGAATGAAAAAATATGACATATTCTACTTTTAACAACATTATATTAACCAAAGTAACACGGAATCTAACATATTTTACCATCTTTCTTCCCCATTTGTAATTTATACAAGCTTATAATGTTATTTTCACTCATTTGGACCAATAAAAGCATTCACTATCAAATTAAAGGGATTAAGAAAAAGTAAAGTACCAATCAACACAATTAAGGTGTAAGGGCCCACAAATGCCAAAAATCTCCTTCTCAGAGGGCTTCGTCTCTTTTTCTTCCTCTTTATTGTACCCCTTCATCTAAATTATTAGCAAGAAGTTAAGAACAAATTCAATTAGCAACATCACAGCATTAATTAATTAATTTACACATTTTTTGGTTTAGAGATTATTATCAATTATGCAAGTAACATATAATATATTTCAAGGGCACTATTAGTTTCATGAATTATGGAAATAAAACTATCATCAAAGATTTGGCAAAGTTTTAAAGTATGTATGATCAAGCAATTAAAGCAATGCTAGGTGATCTGATTAACATAATTCAAACAAGAAAAAGAAGATTATAAAGTAAAAATAAAAAAATACCTCTAATAAGAGCTTAAAAAATACTTGCCCTTACATTTGGAATAGAAGGAGCTTTAAAATGATGGTGGAATGAGCTTCATCTTTTGGGTGTGAGTAGACTTAAATCTCTAGCTTAAAGAGCTGACTTGACCAAATTTGTGTAATTTAATATAAAGTCAATGAATTTTGCCTCTTCTTCTCTAAACCCAAGAGAGAGAGAGAGAGAGAGAGTCTTGAAGACAAGTTCTGTTAACTCTCATGAATTATAATGGTGAATAGGACAGGTATATTCATGATAGAAGTATGTTGTAGGTCTAAATGCGTATATTTTTGGTAAATTATAAGAACAGAGAAAGTATGCATTAATATCATTTATTTTTATTTTATAAAAGTGAAGATAGTACGAATTCTCGTATTGATTTACATCAATTTTAAAGGTACATACAATCCTGTTTAATTTCAAATTCGAAGTATCTAGAATTAGCATGTAAATGATTAAGAATTTTCTAACATGTTATTAAATTATCATCAAGTGCACGTATTGACGTGACACATATTGTAAACTCTTCTAAGATTTTAAAATAGTGATACCAGTAATCATCATTGTAATGACAGTTCACAAACCTAATTACGTTGGAGTAAGCTGGATTAAAATAGACAATATCAATGATTAAAATATTATGTGTTTCCAACTTATAGGTCAAATTGGTTCTCTAAAATCGTGTTAAGTTTGATGTATAAAAAACATGATTTTAATTTTTTTTTTCTTTTTTTTTAAAGCAACAAGGATAGGGGTGAGAATCGATCACAGGATCTCCTGAAACCGACAAGATTTTAAACATTTCTAATCACGTGGATATATAATGTTAATTAAATACTTCGTATATAACTAATAGTGGCAGAGTAGTGATTCTTATCATGGAATAAAGACCCAACAAAGATCACTCAAAATACTCAATAAAAAAACATGCAATTTCATACAAGTTGCTAAAATGGAATTGAATCATGGAATTTTTTTTTTTATTACTTTTGATTTTTTGAATTGAAGCTACCCTCTTGGACAAGGTATGACATTTTACCATCTAATGGCATCTATCATGACTTGTTTCAATTAGGTGGAGAACGATTGACTAAGTAGTGTATTTGCCTAATTGGTATATAACTATAAATGATTAGCATAGTGGCTCTTTAACTAGATTGGTTCTTTTATATAAAATAATTAAGAGACAAGAATTTAGCCACATGAGGCAAGGTGATGTTACAAAGTCTTAGCTTACATGTTACACATGCATTTTTATAAGATTTATACAAGGTGACATTATATTGGAGCTCTATATTAATTAGGAATGTTAGATAATGGGATGATTAATTAGAGGGAGGTGAGAAGTAGGTGACTTCAAACTTGAGACCAACCTTACCGTCTTAACCAATCTTGTTTCTCAAGTTCCTCTTTTATACTTATAGTTTCAATCAAAGAAATGGAGATTGAATACTTATGGTGTTAGGTTTGAATTAGAAGACTACATTAGGGTTTAGGTTGGAATTAGATTACAATGTTGGGAGAAAAAGTGACAATCTTAGAAATAATCTATCGATCCTTAACTCCTTAGCTTAGCCTACTAATTTGCTATTATGTATGCCATCCCCCCCCCCCCCTCTTATATTATCAAATTTTGTTTCTGTCCATATCTTGTAGTAAAGCTGGATTATGACGTGTTTAATTTTTATGAAGTTAATTAAGAAGGTGGAACCTCATCTTAAAAAATATACATTCAATCAATTGAGAAGTCCATTCACTTTGACTATTACAATTATCTAGTTGAGCTAACAAACAATTTACATGTACAAAGATGCAAGTAATAACAGACAATAATTGAATTGCCAAACATATATATTACCCGAAATACATTAAACAACAATACATTCAAATCATATATAGTAGTTGTTTACTTGCATTGGATCAAGCATAGTCACATACAATTGGTCTCTTGGTACACATAAATCTTAGAGTGCCAATATGAATGTGGTTCCCACCATTGATTAACGCAATGAGCTTCCTTGACACTTTGCACAACATTCTTCATGTTCTTAGTAAGCAATGCCGATGGAATTAGATGTGGTGGCTCACCATCTTTTCCTAGTGCACCTACTAACATACTCATCAATGAATGCTTGGTTACAATTAAATCAACTTCATCCATCCCTAATTCCTTCATCCTTCCTCGATGCTCGAAATGCCCGATGTATTCACAACATATTGGATCACTAGGGTTTACAAATATGCTAGGGATCCATGAACATAGCGACAAATATGTGTCATGTTGTTTTGTCGAGTAGTTATTATAATTTTTTATACCTTTTTTAGCTACCTGGTAGATTCCTGCTGTAACAATACTTTTAGCAACACGGACTTTGCCTTTTATATACGTATTGTTTATCTTTTCTATAGGGGCAGACGTGTATGGTGGATTAAAAAGGTAAGTCTCAATATGACACCCCCTTTTAGCCATGTCTTTACCTGCTTGGAGTGCAATAGCTGCCCCAAGAGAGTGCCCTGCTAACAAAACATTTTTAGGACTTATTTCGAGTATGTTCTCTATCTCTTGAAACGCGGTTAGATACCGGGAGTCCCGGGTTAGTCTACTAAAGGGAAGTTGGATATCCAAGTAGAGGTCTCGTTTTCGTGTGTCGGTTTCCATTAGAGTGCCACGAAAGACAATGACGTACCTTGGGGGAACACCTTGTTGAGGTATAAGAACATGGGGTTTGTACTCAAATATGGCTCCAAATATGGAAGAATCAATTTGATCTTTAAGAATTTTGATGCATTCAAAATGGAAGTAATCCCACCAAGCTGGAGCTAATGCTTTGTTCCCTATTCTTTTATGTTGACGGTCTCTTTCTAACACGTACACTCCTTGAATCAAACTAGCTACAACTGATCTTCTGTGATCGGGATTTCCCCTACACAAAAATTATTATATGATTCAATATTAACGTATATAGTTGATAATAGATCTATCAAAATTTAACTAACTTGAAAATTTAATTTTTTACTATTGTCAATCAAACAACTACTTTCCTATTTTTAAAAAATTTAACTTTTCAGTGTATTTACTATATGTATGTCAATCAAACAACCACGACGCACTAATCAACTGAAACCAAGAGAAAAACGAGAGTAGTTTAGAGGTAACTACCAATCAACTGAAGTGAGGTGAACCGGACCAGAAATGCCAAATTCCCACTTGGAGAATATTGCATCACTATCTTCCCCTCTTTTCCCCTTCATCTTTCATCTATAACTTCGCACGAGAAAATCCTGCCAATAAAATGAAGTCCACACATAATTACTTACCATTATCATTAAACACACACAAACATGCAATTTAGCACAAGGTAAAGATTTTGATGAACATATATATACATACATATATGGGATTTGAACAACTTTTTATTTTTTCCTCTTTATGAAAACATATATCAAACAAAAAACAATTTCATGTAAAATCAAGGAATTTAATAAGAAAATAGCAATATAATGTATAATATATATGCCTAAATAGTTTACACCCAAAAAGAAAGAAAGAAAATACCTTTAAATTTTAGTGCATGGCGTTAAAAGCAAGCCATTATCAAAGCTTTCTCTTGAGGAATATATATAGATCACTCAATCGACTATTGGTGATAGAGAAAGGACCTCCCAAGATACCATTATAATTTGTAATTTTGATTAGTTGATGACTTAAAGTGTGACATGTGTCCTTTTATATTTTTATACATTTTTTGTACCTTTTTTTTCTTTGAGCCAAATATGACAATATTTATGCACATTACACTTACATACATACACTTATGGACTTGTGGTACGGAGTATAAACTATTACTATATGGGCTTATGTGGAAGAATGCTACTTCATTTTGTTTAGAAATATTGTTATGAATTTAAAAAGACACTATAAGTAATAGTTTCTTATTAGGGGTGGTAGAACACCTAACCTAACCCATAAATTAAATAAAGGAGTGATCTTTAGGTGGTCCAATTGTACCCTTAATACACTCTCCCCTTCCTTTTGACTCTCCAAATAGCGTTGACTGCTAATTTGATTCAGGTTAACCTAATATATGTGTATATATGAGAGATCAACATCTGATTCGATAGGACGCCTTCTCCTTACCTGTAAATAAAATAAAATAAACTATATATAAATTCTCATGAATAGTTAGTTTAGTTCATTTTGATACCCTCGTGAATAGTTAAGTTCAATATTTGATATCCTCAAATATAATAAGTAACTAAAAAAAATGCATTCAATTGATTCAAGGACAGATTAATTATGATGTTGAGCCAATTCAACAATTTAATTCAAAAAAAAAAGTAATTGTAATTGTTTACTTTTTGAGATTGAATGTGATATCGTTTTAAGGATGACAACAGATTTCTTTATTAATTCATAAATAGAATCCGTGTTACAATGTTCTTTATTGCAACTTTACACTATTTTAAGGGTCTTTCTACTCTTTGCCCTTTATATATACAAGCATTTCTATGGTCACAATTCTCTTATTGTAGGAAATTATTTTTTGTGTACTTGATCAATCAAATTGTATGTGGCATGCATGCACCTTGCTTACTAAACCAAATAACACCTTGCTTACTAAAATACAAAATAACAATAGTAACAAATAAAAACCATTACTAAATAATTGAAACATATTTACAGAAAATAATAGACAAAGCTAGGTCACCAAGCATTATATGAGGCAGCAAATTGGAAGACATGCTCATTTCTTAAGGCACCCTATATTTATTCATTAAATCCCAAATTATGTTAATACAACAAAATTCGTCCTTTGGATAAATTGGAGAGTCACAATTCTAATTATGGTTATAATAGGAGCTTAAGATCACTATTTTTCCCAAATAATTCACCATCCCTTTCCTTTGTCCCTTGAGGCCTTGATCCTTCTTTCAAAGAGACGAGAACGAGCAAAAGGTAATTTAAATTCAAGTGATAGATATACGAATTATAGCTATAAAGTTTATCTCAATTTTTTTTTTACTACTCTATAGATATACGAAATGTGGATGCAACACAGACCCACTCATACATACCTGGTGCGAATTAATTCCACTTTGAAGGGGGGTGGATGAGATTCGAACCCGTGACTCCCGTGACCTCTGTGTCACACTGTCTCTAATACCATGTTAAAGGATCAACACAACCAAAAACTTAAACTGATGATTGAGGCCCATGAATATGTTTTATACTCTATCAATAAGCTTTGGGCACAAAACATCTAAAACTGTAGAGGAAGTAATACTATGTTGTAGGTAATTGGATGACTTTGGTAGCCTTCAGAAACTTCTACATAGTTTTGAAGACAAACTCCTAGTAACCCAAACTAGGGACGTTTTAGGAAACTAAGCTTCGTTACGAAAGTAATTACAAAAATGGTTGCGTGGCAAAAGTATTTACAAAAATAAGCTTCTGGGGTAAACCGCTGCCTCGGGCAGCGTTTTACTTTCTATTTTTTTTTAAAAAAAAAAATCTGCTATAAAAACGCTGCCCCAGGCAGCGTTTTTATAGTTTGACTTTTTTTTTTTTCCTCGTTTATTTTTTTTTAAAATTAATTAAAAAAAAAGGCAACAGCATAAAACGCTGCCCCAGGCAGCGTCTTATGCTTGAACATAAGACGCTGCCTGGGGCAGCGTTTTATCTGTATATGTTTACAGGTAAAATGCTGCCCCAGGCAGCGTTTTACCTGGTTGACAGCACCAAACCAGTTTCTTGCCCCAACCCTCAACATCCTTCCAACACCACCCCCAACCTCCTTCCACCACCTCCAACCCCTTTCCACTACCGCCCTCCACCACCACCGCCTTCCACCACCACCACCACCTTCCACCACCACCACCACCTTCCACCACCTCCAACCCCTTTCCACCACCGCCCTCCACCACCTCCAACCATCACCTCCACCACCTTCCACCTTCCACCACCACCGCCTTCCACCACCTCCAACCACCACCTTCCACCACCACCTCCAACCATCACCTTCCACCACCGCCTTCCACCGGCTTCCACCGCCTTCCACCACCTTCCTCCACCGCCGTCCACCACCTTCCACCCGACCTCCCACCACCACAACCACCTTCCAACAACCGTTAACCACCACCTCCAACAACCTTCCACCACCACCACCTCCAACAACCTTCCACCTCACACCACTACCTTCCACCACCACCGTTGACAAGTCAATATATACATAAATCAAAACATATTGGGAAACAAAGAACATAACACACAAATGTTGACCGAAAAACATTTATTATATTAGAAATGTAAATGTTATATACCTAATCTATACAAAAATTTTACTACATGAAATAACTAAGCTAACACTATCCCGATTCATCTATCCGGGGCAATTGATCTAGGTCAGGTTGCTCGGCCCTCTGTCTGACACGCCGCCGCCTGTAATGAGTAATGGTGGTGAATGGGTCTAGAGGCGGCGGGGGAGTCAGCTGGCTGGTATCTGGCACCTCCTGGGAGCCGGACGGCGCAGTGCTGTGGAAGGTGTAGTCCTCTGAGAATGTCGGCGTCGTAAAATCACCTCCACAACTACTCTGTCCGAGCTCGAACTGCGAATGCATCGAGTGGCCATCATACGTGTCCCGTTGGGGGACGAGGTAGTCGTGTCCATATCGACGCAAGCTGGCCATGCCCATATCCCGAACCCGCTGGACCTCGTTCCCGGTGGGCCCGTCAGCCAGGCTAAGGGACAGCGCGTCAACCATCGATGCCATGTCTGCCGCCTGCAATAATCATTGATCAGTTATGCATAGAAACCTAAAAAGAGATGAAAATTAATCGGTTGGAAGTGAAACTCACATATCCATAAATCACGTCATATGCTGGATGGTAATGGGTGGAGGGAGGTGTGTAGCTGGGGTTGATGAAACGCCGGGTAATCCGCTGGTACCAGACCATGTACGGATCGTGAGGCTGGAGGACACCCTGCATCGGTACACCGCCCACAACGAACTCCAGTCGCCGATGCCAGAGCTCTACGTACGCACGATGCTCCACCGACCAATCCGTCTCTGCCTTTCCTCGTCGGTCAACCCCGTGCAAACGAGTGCTGGTGTCACATGGCTGAGGGACCGACTGACGTATCCCATATTGCCGCAAGACCCGGTCAGGGAGGTGACTCTCCACAACCTCAAAACAGATCACCGGGGTCCGAGCACGCCACTCTGCCTCATGCTCCAGCAAATGACCAGGCATGGCCTCCACTAACTCAGGAAGGTACGGATCCCATGTCACCTGCACATACACATCAAAAAAACGTCAGTGAACGCTAAACACATCAGACAGTAGAATAATGAGTACAAGTGAAGAAATACCTGGTCCTCAGTAAGTCGGTCGAAGGCGTCTCGGTAGTACGGTAGACTCCTCGCCGCATGGGAAAGTGTGAGTCTAGGGGCAACCCACCTGCATCCGTATGCCTCGTCAGGTGTAGGAAGAGGGGGAGCGTCGTACGCCTGGTACTGCTCGTCTTGATCCAGCTCCCCCGGTCGATGCCTGACTGGCCTACCTGGCCGCCCGACGTGGAGATGCTCCCAAGACCAGAACTGTTACACGAATTAAAACGTAAGTGTTTACTATTCATCTATTAAACTATTACACTAATTGGTGAGTTACCTGAAGGACGACCAAAGGACCTCCGATCTCGATTGCACCACGGTGGGACGCTCGGCATAGATGGCGATACAGTATCGCCAAACAAGCACTACCCCAGCTGTACGAACGGATATGGTCCCAGTCGTTGTCTAACAACTGCAGGTGTAGGAGCTGGAGGTGGCTGCCGCTCTTGTTGCCGAACAACACGCCAGCGACCAAGAAGAACAAGTAAGCTCGGGCGTGTCTCTGAACGGCGGCGTCATCAACACCGTGATGAAGCTCGCCAAAGGTCTCTCGTAGCCAACCTATCCTCAACCGAGTTCCCCGGATATCTTCGGGAGCAGGCTGAACCCCAAGAACTCGAACTACAAGTCCTACAGGATCGACTAACGGGCGTCCTGTCACTGGAGTCCCGTGTATAGGAAGCCGCGTAAGTATCGCGATGTCACGCAGGGTCACAGTCGCCTCCCCTACAGGAAGGTGGAAGGAGTGGGTCTCTTGTCTCCACCTCTCCGCGAGCGCAGTCACAAGCGCTCGGTCGATGGCCCTGAAGGCCATCCGGTGAATTCCTCCAAAACCAGCGAGCTCGATTGAAGAGGATTGAAGAGGAAATTTGGGAAGGGAAGGAAGAGGATTGCGAAGGAGGCGAAGGAATGAAGAGCAAACGTGATTGAAAACGAAGCTCGAGTTTCTGGTTTTACAACCAGACAGAAACGCTGCCTGGGGCAGCGTTTCATTAACAAGATAAGACGCTGCCTGGGGCAGCGTCTTATGTTTAAGCATAAGACGCTGCCTGGGGCAGCGTTTTATGCTGTTGCCTTTTTTTTAATTAATTTTTAAAAAAAATAAACGAGGAAAAAAAAAGTCAAACTATAAAAACGCTGCCTGGGGCAGCGTTTTTGTAGCAGAATTTTTTTTTTTTAAAAATAGAGGGTAAAACGCTGCCCGAGGCAGCGGTTTACCCCAGAAGCTTATTTTTGTAAATACTTTTGCCACGCAACCAAATTTGTAATTATTTTCTTCGGGAAGCTTAGTTTCCTAAAACGTCTCCCAAACTAGTACATCATGATTCATGAGTACTATACTAGTTTTAAAGACATACTTTGTATAAAAATGTATTTATTACATATTTTTTTTAGGAAAATTTAGAAATAATAATCCCAACTTTGCTCCGTTTTGTTTTAATAATCCCAACTTTGGATTATTCTACAATAATCCCAACTTTGGGGGGTGTTTTGTTTCTTCAATCCCTCTAACCGGTTACCGGTTAAAAAGGTTATTTTCATTTTTTTTCATAAATGCCACGTGTTGATTTCTAATTAGCCAAAAATATTGAAATAAAAACAGAAAAAAAAAACCCATCCCTGACCACCCAGCCCCACCGCCCACTGGAAACTCAATCCAGCGGTTCCAGCCACCCTAATCCCCCCTTACCCACCGGAAAATCCACCCAATTCTCCCGCCGGCCAGACACCCCTCCCCTGGTCCCGTCGCTGCACTCCCCCTCCTTCCCCTTTAAAAACAACCCCCATTCCCAGAAACCCCCTCACTCTCCTCGAAAAACAACTAAAATCCACCTCCGCCACTCTAAAAGCCCACGAAATCCCTCCCCTCACCCTAGAATCACCCAGGCCAAGTGATTTGAGGGTGGTGGGAGGGGTTTCGTGGGCTTTTGGAGCGGCGGGGGAAGATTTCAGTGTTTTTTTCGAGGAGAGAGGGTTTACGGGAATGGGGGTTGCGCGACTGGAGGGTTGGGGTGGGTTCGCCGATGCGGTCAGCAGGACTTGGGTGGATTTTCCGGTGGGGTAAGATGGATTGAGGCGGTTGGGGTATGGGATTCCGGTGAGCTGTGGCGGTGGTGGAGGGGCTGGGTGGGGGTTTCATTTTTTTTAAAAAAAAAATTCTTTTTTTTTTATTTTTTTTTTGACCAATCACAATATGACACGTGTCACGCAACTTGTGATAGCAGGTCATTGACTTTTGTTGACCGGTTTGGGATTGAAGAAACAAAACACCCCCCAAAGTTGGGATTATTGTAGAATAATCCAAAGTTGAGATTATTAAAACAAAACGGAGCAAAGTTGGGATTATTATTTCTAAATTTTCCTTTTTTTTAAAGGTGAAAATTAATATAAACACTAAGAAAGTAAGAAGTCCTCCTCTCTAGGGGTATTTATTATGTATTACAAATTAGTGATTTAAAGTGTAAATTGCAATTTTAGCTACAAATAGTCGAGTATGTACTTGTTTTACATGCACAAAAAATTGGTCCAGTTAAATGAGTTTTTGTGATACATGCACGTATTAATTTATAATTTATATACGAAGTATAATTTTTTTTAATAAAATGTTTAAGTTAATTAAATAGTACGGATTATCAAGCTAAATTTGGTCTATTAGAAAATATTGCACCTTTTAACGTTGAAGTTACTAGAGACACTCTAAGGGTGAGGATCTCTTACCCTTATTTGACCCATTTAAGAATGACTCCGACCCAACCGTATCCAAATTTTTGACCCAACCGGCCAACACATCAGTAACCCGACCCACTTTATTTTTAATTAAGTTGAAAAGTGAAAATCAATTAATCGAACTGAAGCCGTAATGTATCGTTGTTCTGTTTTTCCAATTCCTCGTCTCAAATTAGCCGATTCTCCTCTAAAACCCAGGTACTCCTCTCTTTCTAATTAGTTCTTGTCTGCAATTATTTGGTGTAACCAAGAAATTATATTATGAAAAAATTAATCAAAAACAACTAATATTGTATGAGTCTATTCATGATTGATTAAATTAATATATTGTTAAATTTTACGTGCCCTTTCCTGTAATTTACATTATGATGTTCTAATTTCCAAATAGCAATTTTTAGTGAGATAGATGTTTTTCTGTAAGAATTGTCATATTGCTAAGTAGTTTTCTTCTGGGATTTTTTTGTTTGGAAGTTTGAGCATATAAATTTGGTATCTTGATGGTGTATGAATGCCAAATTATTTGGTTTTGTTAAAAGGTTTTAATTGGAAAAATAAAAGAAAATTGTCGAGGAGATTTAGGGTTCGAAAAAGTTCTTGACTTGTGCCCTGCATTTTAATTATGTTGTGAATCATATAGGAGAAAGGATGAATGTTGTCATTGCCCTGCATTTTAATTACTTTCCTAACATTGTTAGCATTGATTTTAAATTGTCTAAGTGTTGTAATCATATCCAATTATTGTTTTTCAACACATTAGTATTAAGGGATGAACTGTTTTTCTTGCTTCTGTTGTCTTTGATTGATTAAGAGTAAAATGATAGTGTGTTGGATCATCCATAGTTTATCTGAAGTTTGATTTTGTTATGCCAGTTCCGCAGTTTGTGTTTCGTTGCCCTGAGATAGACATGGACGATGTCAGTGTATCTAATAGCGAACTGTTGGAAACGACTGATTCTGAAGGTATTTTAAGCTTCATTTACAGTTTCTGCTCATCTTATGATACCTTGGATCCATTTAACCACTCCTTTTTGTAATCAATGAAGAATTTTTTGTGCAGATGATACAAGCAACGTTTCTGATGACAATTTGCATAATGAAGGTGAATTAGAGAGCCTTTCTGACATTGATGATGCAGAGGTCAGTGATACACTGGTACTTGCTAATTTCACTGCATGACTCTACCATTATGTGATTCAATTTAGCTTTTTCTGTTGAAAAAGAAACAAGGCAATACTTTGGTGTGCTTCACTGGAAACTCACCACTGTCGTTGCGCCACAACTTCCACGAGCTAACTGTGCACAATGTAGAAATGTATCGGTTATGAGGGGAAACTGGTTAAGGGGGCAATGTGACAATCAACATCCAATCTACTCTACTTTAAGTCCACATTTGTTCTCCGAATGTTGCTTTCCTGTGAAGCCTATTTATAGATAGCTCATAAGAGGATATTGGCAAGTCAATATTGGCCTTCTTTCTTTCGATTTTTCTTTTGTTCTTTTTCCCTGTAAAATATTCTGATATCCTGCCGATGACTCTGCAATCTTGAAAAGAACATTAAACTTTGAAACTAAACTTCAATGTGGTGTGGCAAGCATTGAACATGCATTATCTTTTGCTTTGTCTTCCATATCCTCTTATGCTTTAATTTCTGAGGATTTTTTTAAGAATTTTGACAAACAATAGCAACAACTTGATTATAACAAACTATATTCTTTCAAGTGACATGTGTACATTTTACACCTGAGCCTTTTAAACAAGTTTTTCTTTATAATTGTCTTATTATTTTACGCTTTTTTCTACTTCATATTGCCCTTTTGGTGACTAACAAATCAGTCCTACGATGAGGATTTTGTAGGTTGGGAGCTACTTATATAATGAGAAAGAGAAGCATTACAGGAAAGAAATTTGGGAAATGATGAATAAGAAGTATCTTCAGGTAATCTGATATTTTATGTCATCATTCACCATGTTGTTCATGTACTAGCTTCAATATCTATGGCTGAACATGTAGTTTGCACTAATTAAGGAAGAGATCATATTGATCAGTCCGATGTGGAATTGACTGTCACTCTATGATCCTTGTTAACTGAGCAAAGTAAGTAATCTATACATATTAATCAGCTTATACCTCTGTCTGTATGCAGGAACAAGCCGAAAGAGTTGCTGCAGCTGATAATGGTACAAAATTCAAAAGGGTGAGTTCTTTTAAATATTTTAGTATCTTTATTGCTCTTGCACACTTTAGCTCCAAGTGCATTCCTGTCACTATATTCATATATGACCAACTAGTGGAAAAGTTTTCTCCTAGATAACATGAACTAGAAATTCAATTTAATCATCAAATTGGATAGTGATAAGCTCAGACCATTTCTTCAGGTCAAATTATGTTGTGGAGGTTGTGAGCTTGGGCGTACAGGATTTCAAAAGTTTGGAAGGTAATACTTGGGTTCTTGAAAAGTGTTACCAGCTATAGAAGGTATCTCCTGATTAAAATGTAAGGATTTTTGCTATTAAGGTGTAATGACGTGTTAGAACTATCAATTTTTCACAGAATTATGTGTGGAGATACAAATCGAGGCACTGTAAAGCTGTAAAATTGTCTTTTTAACAATTTTCCGCATTCTTATTTGTGTGTGTGGGAAGGGGGGAGGTGGGAGGAGCACTAGCTATAACAGACCTCAATTATTGTTAAGGGTATGAGTGTATCTTAGATCTTTTTATATTAGCCTTTAATTTTTCTTGATTTTTTTGGCTAGGATATTCTTGTAAAGTCTATTCCTGCTGCTTATCGTGGACAAATTGTTTGCAGGATCTCAGAAATAAGAAGACAACAGGTGTAAAGAAAGCCCAGTCTACATCTAAAACTCGTCCACCATCGCCTAAGAAAGTATGTTTGAATTTTAAAAGAAAAGCTTTCCATTAAATTAATAGACTAAAGCCACCATATATTTCGCAAAAATTGGAGCCTGCATTCATTTGTAATATAATGTACCTTACTGATGCAGTAATTCATGTAATATACTGCATTATGCTTCAAATTTTATTCGTGTTTCATTCAATACTCAGAAGCTGCGCTCTTATTATGTATGATTGTTCTTTCAGAGGCCCAACTCCAGAATCAATTATGATGCACTGTCCAAAGTGCTAGATGAACCTGTAAGTCTTGGATTTGTTAATTTTCGCTTTTCTTTTAAAGCTTGGATTACTATCTACATTTCATATGTTATTCAAGAATCTGGTCATGGTCGTAGGCCTGTAGATTCTTTTGAACTCCTTTTGACTTTCTGGTTGTATTTGAATTTTCAGGGAAAGGGGGGATTTATCTGAAAAATCATCCATTATGTTTCAACTGCTGCAATGATTTTTCTTTTTCCTTTTTTTTTTAAAAAAAAAAGTTTTCTATACAGTTGACTATTATTTACTATGGGCTATAGATCACTGTCTCGATTCCTTTATAGCAACATCTACTTAATGCTTTGCTTGCTTAACAGTCGCCTTCAGATAGTTCAAAGAAGAGGCGGAATGAACCAAATTTGGACAAACATTTGGGAGAAAGTTCAATTGGAACTCAGGTGAATGATGATGCAGGAAATGAAACTGGGGATGAAGAAAATGGCCGGGAGGATCATCTAAACTATTCAGAATATAACAATCAAGAGGATGAGTACGACTACTATGATGATGATGATGAGTTCTTTTGAACTTCTTACTTAGTTTGGTTTCCTTGAAATTCACAAGGAGCCTTAAAGTCTTGTATTTTGGAACTATAGTGTAGATTGATATACACATAAGAAAAAGAAATAGGTAAAATGACCACCATTTTATGGCATATTATTTGCCCTTGCATCTCTGATTGCTGATTTGGTTTTAAAGTTCTGTTAAGGTTCTGTTATTGCGTTTTAGATCATAGAAACAAAGTTCTGTCGAAGACGGGGCATTTTTGAGTGATCTGGGGCTTTGATACACGGATATGCCTTATAATCGCTGGTGTCACAGTTATAAATTTGGAGTTTGTTTAATGTCATTATATTGACATGCAAATAACCACAACTACCACACTTGGTAATTCTCTTTTTGGTATTCCCTGCATTTCTAAAATTCTCAATTACTAGTATGAAATTACCTTTATATATAGAACTACAAATCTTGTATTCTTCTAAGAAAACTTGCATAACAATACTCCTAATACTCAAGGAGCTTCTACTATAACATGATACCTAACCTAATACACTAGAATAGAGCTGTCAAAAGTCGACTCAAACCCAATTATTAACCGACCCATCTGAACCCGAAAAAATGGTGGCCCAAACCCGACCTGAAACCAACCCTAGACCCGAGTTGACCCGAGTATGTGAGACCCGAACCCAAACATGAACTGACCTGGAGATGACCCGACCCGATGTAACCCATAAATTATTGACCTGAATCGAACCCGACTTGAATCGAAATTCACCCGAACCCGTTTTAACCCATCAAAACCCGAATTTAACCCGACTTGTTACTAACTTGAACTGAATTTAACCTGACCCGTTCCTAAACCGACCCGAATTTAACCCAACCTGTTACAAACCCGACCCGAAATCAACCCGACTTGTTATTGACATGACCCGTTCCTAACCGACCCGAATTTAACCCAACCTGTTACAAACCCGACCCAAAATCAACCCGACTTGTTATTGACCTGACCCAAATTCAACCCAACTTGTTATTGACCCGACCCAAAGTTTACCAGACCTATTACTAACCTGACCTAAAAATTCAACCCGATCTGTTACTAACCGACTCGAAATCAACACGACTTGTTATTGACCCGACCTAAATTCAACCCAAATTGTTCCTGGCCCGATTTCAAATCACCTTAAATGCAATTTAGACCACCTTATTATTGTTGATCAAAGCATTTTGTCTAGCGAGACCAAGTCAGTCCAGGCCGGCAAAAGAAAGGAGCATCATTTTCAAATTTAAGAGTTAAATATAGTATATATTTGTTGTATGGTCAAAGGAGATAATTATCTTCCTAAATTATAAACTTTAGTTCCCTATTGCTCAAAAAAAAAAAAAAAAAAAAAATTATAGTTCCCTAGTTTATTGCCATATATATTGTAGTCAAAGGAAATAATTAGCTTGATAAAAATAATAATTATATATTTATATTAAGTTGAACCAGAATATGACCTGACTAGGAAATAACCCGACCTAATTGTACCCTACAAATTATTGACTTGAACATAACCCGACTTGACTCCGAGAATGACCCGACTTGAAAATGACACAACCTGATTATAACCCGCAAATTTTTGACTTGAACCGAACCCAACTTGAACCCGAGAATGACCCGACTTGAAAATGACCCAACCTGATTATAACCCGCAAAATATTGACTTGAACAGAACCCGACTCAAACCCAAGAATGACCCGGCCCGATTCTAACCCGCATGTAATTGAGTTGAACTGAACCCGACTCGAACTCATGAATTACCCTAACCCGTTAAAACTCGACCTGTTGTTCACCCGACCCGAATGTAACCCGACTGTTATTAATCCGACCTAAACCTAAACCAAACCTGATAAAGAGTATGACCCGACGTGACCCGACTCAAGCATAAACCAACCCAAACCCGACCCGCATAGGTTATGAAATTAATCCGAATTGATCCGACCCGACCCAAGTTGACCCGACCTACTCTTACCGACCCAAACCCGAATCGTTTACCCGAATTGACAGCTCTACCTGAAACCTCACAAATTTCTCAAAAAGCGTGGATATTAGCCTTCAATTTTGATTTTTTTGACTTTTTTTTCACACGAAAATAAAAAATTCCAGAAATGATAACCATGATCCCTAATACCCTACTGGAGTCCAATTGACTGGGTAGAACCATCCAATTTTCCTTTTAAACCAATTTACCGGTTTACAACTTGCTCCGATTTACTTAACTCAAGCATACCACGAACATTTATGACAACATATAATGAGCATATATGGATCCAAACGACATTATATGACCCCGAGATGTATCCCCTAAAATCTCAATGCTTTTTGACATCGAGCCCCGAAACATTCGAAATTTCTCAAAAAGCGTGGATATTAGCCTTCAATTTTGGAATTTTTTGACTTTTTTCCGCCCGGATATAAAAATTACCAAAATGTTTACCAGGGTCTCAAATACCCTCCGGGAGTCCAATTGGGTGGGTGGAACCATCCAATTTTCCTTTAAACGACCAATTTACCAGAATACAACTTACACCGATTTCATTAATTCAAGCCTACCACGAACATTTATGACAACAAATAATGATCATATATGGTTCCAAGCGACATTATATAACCCCGAGAAGTATTCACTATAATTTCAAGACTTTTCGACATCGGGCCCCGAATACTCCAAAAATTCTCAAAAAGCGTTGATATTAGCCTTCAATTTTGGAATTTTTTGACTTTTTTTCACCCGAAAATAAAAATTGCCGAAATGTTTACTATGGTTTCTAATACCCTCGGGAAGTCCAATTGGGTGGTTGGAACCATCCAATTTGCCTTTAAACGACCAATTTACCGGTATACAACTTGCCCCGATTTCATTAACACAAGCCGCCTACCATAAACATTTATGACAACATATTATGCTCAAATATGGTTCCAAACAGCATTATATGACCTCGAGATGTATCCCCTAAAATCTAAAGGCTTTTTGACACCGTGCCCCGAAACCTAAAAAATTTCTCAAAAATCGTGGATATTAGCCTTTAATTTTGGAATTTTATGACTTTTTTTCGCCCGTTAATCGCCGAAATGTTTACCATGGTCCCTAATATCCTCAGGGAGTCTAATAGGGTAGGTGGAACCATCCTATTTGCCTTTAAACGACCGATTTATCGGTTTACAACTTGCACCGATTAAATTAACTCAAGCCTACTACGAACATTTATGACAACATATAACGATCATATATGATTCCAAATGACATTATATGACCCCGAAATGTATCCCCTTAAATCTCAAAACTTTTTGACACCGGGTTTCGAAACATTCCAAATTTCTCAAAAAGCGTGGATTTCAATTTAGGAATTTTTCGACATTTTTTTGCCCGAAAATAAAAATTGCCGAAATTTTTACCGTGATCCCTAATACTCTCCGGGAGTTCAATTGTGTGGGTGCCATCAACCAATTTTCCTTTAAACAGCCAATTTACCGGTTTACAACTTGCACCGATTTCATTAACTCAAGCCTACCACGAATATTTATGACAACATAGAATGATTATTCATGGTTCCAAACGGCATAATATGACCCCGAGATGTATCCCCTAAAATCTCATTTCTTTTCGACACCAACCCCGAAACTCTCGAAATTTCTCAAAATGCATGGATATTAGCCTTCAATTTTGGAATTTTGTTACTTTTTTCGCCCAGAAATAAAAATTGTCGAAATGTTTATCATTGTCCCTAATACCCTCTGGGAGACCAATTGGGTGGTTGGAACCATCCTATTTGCCTTTAAACGGTCAATTTACCGATTTACAACTTGCACAAATTTAATTAACTCAAGCCTACTATGTACATTTATGACAACATATAATGATCATATATAGTTCCAAACGACATTATATGACCCCGAGAAATATCTCCTAAAATCTCAGAAAATTTCGACACCAGGCCTCGAAACATCCCTAATTTCTCAAAAAACGTGGATATTAGCCTTCAATTTTGGATTTTTTTTACTTTTTTTCGCCCGGAAATAAAAATTGCCGAAATATTTACCATGGTCCGTTATACCCACCGGGAGTCCATTTGGGTGGGTGGAACCATCCAATTTGCCTTTAAACGACCAATTTACCGGTTTACAACTTGCGCCGATTTCATTAACTCCAACCTACCATAAACATTTATGACAACATTTAATGATCATATATGGTTCCAAATGACATTATATGACCCCGAGATGTATCCCCTAAAATCTAAAGGTTTTTCGACAGCGGGCCCCAAAACCTCAAAAATTTCTCAAAAAGCGTTTATATTAGCCTTCAATTTTGGAATTTTATTACTTTTTTCGCTCGTAAATAAAAATTGCCGAAATGTTTACCATGCTCCCTAATAAAAATTGCCGAAATGTTTACCATGCTCCCGGAGTCCAATTGGGTAGGTGGAACCATTCTATTTGCCTTTAAACGACCATTTTATCGGTTTACAACTTGCACTGATTAAATTACCTCAAGCCTACTACGAACATTTATGACAACATATAACGATCATATATGGTTCCAAACGACATTATATGACCCCGAGATGTATGCCCTTAAATCTCAAAACTTTTCGACATCGGGTCTCGAAACATTCCAAATTTCTCAAAAAGCGTGGATTTCAATTTTGGAACTGTTTTCCGCCCGGAAATAAAAATTGCCAAAAGGTTTACAATGATCCCTAATACCCTCCGGGATTCCAATTGCGTGGGTGGCACCAACCAATTTGCCTTTGAACGACCAATTTACCGATTTACAACTTGCACCGATTTCATTAACTTAAGCCTACCACGAACATTTATGACCACATAGAATGATCATTCATGGTTCCAAACGACATTATATGACCCCGAGATGTATCCCCTAAAATCTCATTTCTTTTCGACACTAGCCCCGTCACCCTCGGAATTTCTCAAAATACATGGATATTAAGCCTTCAATTTTGGAATTTTGTTACTTTTTGTCGCCTAGAAATTAAAATTGCCGAAAAGCTTACCTTGGTCCCTAATACCCTCTGGGAGACCAATTGGGTGGGTGGAACCATCCTATTTGCCTTTAAACGGTCAATTTACCGATTTACAACTTGCACCAATTTAATTAACTCAAGCCTACTACGACTATTTATGACAACATATAATGATCATATATGGCTCCAAACGACATTATATGACCCCGAGAAATATCCCCTAAAGTATCAAAAAATTTCGACACCAGGTCTCGAAACATCCAAATTTCTCAAAAAGCGTGAATATTAGCCTTCAATTTTGA